CATACTCTATGCTAATCTCTCTCTAATTTATGCTTTCATCTTTTAAGTAAATCCATACCCCCTAACAGCAGTGTCCAGTGTAGCTGGAAGTCAATGGGCAGGGTAAAAGGGTGTGCCACTGGTGCAAATCACGTGACCAGACCTGCCAAAAGGGGAGAACATGCCCAAAAAGGGGGCATGTTTGTCCAAAGAATTGGAAGGTCAACCTGGCATCATGAGGACTACTCGGGACACCAATGGACGTGGGTTTCCCAAGCAAATGGGACATAGTGCGTCAATACCAGAGAACAATGGCTATAGAGAAGCTATAGGTCAGTTGTTGTGCTTAGCCGTTGCAGTCCCCATTTTAGGCAGAAAAAACAGCCCACCCACACAAAGAGACTGAACTGCAGTCAAAAGGCTAGAGAGGTCTTTAAAAGGGACTGTGCATTTCAAAATAGGACCGTCTTCTACCAGCAGTCCTACATATATAGAATATACTGATCCAGATTGATTTTAGGACATGTCAGATCGCAAGTGGATATGGATTTCCTTTTTACAAGACAGAGCTGTTAGCTGAGCAAGTCACAAGCAAGCCACTTTGGCCCATTCTTCTAATGAAACTGAACATGTTTTTCCTTCTGAGACATGTAGAGAGGTCTTAAGGACTTGGGAGTAGAAGAACCTACAGCAGTACAGATCATTGAAGACAATTATGGTTGTATTCTCTATCAGAGAAAAATAGTGCTAGTTCAAAGCATATACAGTGAGGTCCACAAATATTGGGACATCGACACAATTCTAATCTTTTTGGCTCTATACACCACCACAATGGATTTGAAATGAAATGAACAAGATGTGGTTTAACTGCAGACTTTCGGCTTTAATTTGAGGGTATTTACATCCAAATCAGGTGAACGGTGTAGGAATTACAACAGTTTGTATATGTCCCCAGGGTACTTACCTAGTATCTGTAAAAAAAACTTTTAAAAAAATCTAATAATATGTTGTTTTTTACAGATACATATACAACATTGCATTGTAGCTCACAATTTCATATATATTTTGAGTCTAACTACATTAAAAAAAAGCAAATATGTGTTTGGCTAGATCCCTCAAATATCAAATTGTCCGTTGTGTTGACCTCTGACAATTTTTTATAATGACTTTATTTATAGGCCAAAGTAGAGATGTGGCCATTTAATTGTAACATTTAGCATTTTGATGGCAAGCCTTTGTCTGAAACTAGTTAAGTAAGTATCCATTTGAAACTGATATAATATGTGGGCTAAATTATTTTTAAAGGAAAGGTAATGATCAGATGTAAGATTCATACTAATTCTAACCCATAAACCTCTCAGCCACAACTAGTGGGAATAAGTAAAAATCACATAGAGTATCGTCAGGGAATTGGGAAGAACAAGGACTATTCATACCCCAAAGCCTCTCCAACACTGCCAGTTACTTAAGTTATATACAGACTTGGGTACCCTTAATTGCTTTATAATGCTGTGATGAATGAGGTAAAAATTTATTTTGTTTGATACAGGAAGATGATTTTGTGAATTGGGGAGAATGAGACAGTGAGTGTATTACCTTCTACCATCATGATCTCAGTGATGAGGAGATATGGCGTCCCACTTGGTGTCTGTGCAACTCAGTGACAGAAGAATTAAATAGTTCCAAATATGCGGATGAAGGACTAGTTATTTTTTAAAGGTTGTTGAAGGCAGTGCAAGTGGGGACACTGGCCAATGGCTACTCTTCTTACAATCTCAGCAAGTAAGATTACACTTGTTTACTAAATACCTCAGTGACCTCCCAAGTGACTAAGGAGTGTATTAGTGTATTACGTGGAATGGTCGCTACTGCACTCAGAGGAGAGGGAACAGGCCCTGTATCGCCTCCATCTATTTCTTCACTCAGCATTACTCACTGACAAGTACTCAGAAAGTGTTACTAGCACATTTTGTGTCTACAGAGTCACTCTTAGTCCCTGGATATTATTATCGCTGAGAATTATGACATGCAGGGCAATACAGGGTAATAGGTAAATACTAATTGCTCTAGTCCTCAACAATATTTATATGGCAATCATGGCATGCATATTGGTGTAGTGTCATTTTTATTCAGTGACGTGCTGGGACTATTACTTGTTAGATAGGAATCATTTCTTGTGATAATCATAGTACGGTGATTACAGTGAATGGGTTCCTTATTAAGCATTTCTTGAAAGAGGACTTTTAATTTGTTTAATAAGTATTCTGTAGGGTATAAATGCTGTTGTATGTAGTATGAAATGGAGCAATATCAAAATCGGTTTTCTAGGTACTGGAGTGAATTTTGCCTTTTATTTTTGTTTCTATGCCAGATGTCAGATTGCAGTAAAACGGGTAAAACTATGTAACAAAATAATACCGTAACTATTGTTTTAGTTTCAAACTATTCAAACTTGAGTCCACAAATTATATTAAGCAAGACAATTACAAATATCAAGTTTTAAAAAACAAATATAAGACTATGGACATCTTACATGACACTTTTCTTTAACCCCTTAAGGACCAAACTTCTGGAATAAAAGGGAATCATGACATGTCACACATGTCATGTGTCCTTAACAGGTAAAAAGATAAGAAAAATAAAAATGAAAACAGTTTATCCTAGAACCAAAAATATAGTAAGTATGCTCTCTTTTATGGATTCTAAGTATATAGGCACAATGTTGACACAGCATCGGGGGCAACAAGCTTAAATTATCGATTATTGGGAGATTTGTGTTATGAGGCTACGGGGAGTTGGCCATCTATAAACCTGGTCAAGTAAAAGTCTGTAAATTTGAAAGTGGATTTCATTTTGGACTAACTACAACTATCTAATGAGTTAATATAAAGTTGCCAGGTAAGGAAGAATAATTTTCTTCTTTTGTAATGAGATTTCTAATCAATCCATATGGAATAAGAAGGAGATGTTTGTATGTAGTAGTCATGGTGGAGGGGGGAAGGAGTGATGCAGTGATGTCATATACTTTTAAGTGCTGAAATATTGTTTTATAGAATATATAGTGGTTGTTTTTTTTTTTTGCTGCCCTTACAAAATAAAATGCCTAAGATGTCCAAAATGTAACCACTTACAAAAAATGTTGATATTTAATTATTTTTCAATTATTTTCTATGTAGGGCAGGTTACTATAAGTTGGAGAGCTGGCCTGGACATTCTTAAAATAATTATGCAGCTCAGGGAAAACTAAAGGCTACTACAGCAGAACTGAGGTAGAAAAAACCCTCAAGGGTCCTTTTGGTTTCCATTTAAACAATGGCACACAATTCATACTCACTGGTGTGAAATTTGCAATTTCTCAGGGACTAACAATTATCAATGAAAAAGTAAAAACGTCATGAAGAAATATTGGCATTAAAAAAACAGTTATGACATAAACACAATTTAGTATAGCATTACAAAATAAAACATTGTATGAGTGACAATATTTTTGGAAACAATATTTTGTGGGCGTACTAATCATAGACAGAACTTTTTGGTCTCAATGATTAATGTGTTTATTGTTGGAAGTAAATATTTTGCAACAAATGCACAGTGTGTCTAGGAGTGTCATGAGTCAGGACTTGCCAACATTGACACAACCACATTACCCCAGTGTACCTAGAGATTCTAGACTAGAATGTCTTGTGAGCTGAAGCTGAACCAAAAATGTGTTGTGCAATAAGATGCACATAGATAATAGAGACTGAACATAAAATACAAGAACATTTACTTCAGGTCAATGTTGCTCAACAGGCTTGTAAGCATTAAAAAAGTTTTGCATTTTTGTTACCATTGTTTCGTTTACAACACTAATCAATATTATAGGTATGAAATCTGTTTTGTTCTAATGCATAAAAAAAAGTCTCAAAACCTATAGTATCTTCCTCTGTCTGTCAGATTAAGGTTTGGTACGCCCTTTACATAATGTATGCAACAATTTGCAATGGCATGTTATAAGGGATACTCTAATGCCAGAAATACAAACCTGTATTCCTGACACTATAGCTCCCTTGTCCTCTCCTCCTCCCCCCTACCCACCCCATGATAAATAAAGGGTTAAAACCCCTTTATTTACTTACCTGATCACAGCTTCGATGTCCTTCAGTGCAGCGTCGCGGCGCCACCTTCTCCGCCGTCACTCCAGCTGACGTGTGCACATTAGGCCATCCCCATGGCAAAGCTTTAAATCAGTGCCTTCCTAAAGGGAAATAGCTAATGCTGGGTGTCATCATACAGAGTGTGATGATGTCCGGCATAGGCGTGCGCACGGGGTGTGCCTGGGCACACCCTTATCCCTGCGGCACGCCTATGGATTGAGACCGGCAGGGGAGATCTCAGGATCCCCCCTGTCGGCTCATGCAGAGCCGGCGCTATCCTAGCACCAGCTCTGCTCTAAGCCTCCCCTCACAGGCAGTGAGGGAGGCAGGAGAGGACCCAGGGAGCTCTTGCCAGCAGCTTCGCTGGGTTCCTCAGATCTTGTGAGAGTGAACTCTCGATCCGCAGGCTAGAGTTCAAACGCCACTGGACCACCAAGGAAGGATGGCAGCAGGAACAAGGACCCCCCTCCCAGGCATAAGGTAAGAATGGAGGGGGGATATTAACTGATCTGCCCCCACCTCCACTGGACCACCAGGGAAGGCAGCAAGGAAGGATCCCCCCTCCCTACATAAGGTAAGAAGGGAGGGGGATATTTATGAACTAATCTGTCCCCACCTCCACCCCCACAAATCACCCAAACATACAGCACACAAACAGCACATACACACACCTACATCACACAAACAGCACACACACATACATCACACAAACAGCACACACACATACAGCACACACACACACACAGCACCCACACACACACAGCACACACACACAGCACACACACACACATACAGCACACACACACATACAGCAAACAAACAGCACCCACACACACACAGCATCCTCACACATACAGCACCCACACACATACAGCACACAAACAGCACACACAGCACCCACACACACAGTACCCACACACATACAGCACCCACACACATAGCACCCTCACAAACACACACACAGCACCCTCACACACAGCACACAAACAGCACCCTCCCACACACACAGCACACTAACAGTACCCTCACAAACACACAGCACCCACACAGCACACTAACAGTACCCTCACAAACACAAACAGCACCCTCACACACACACAGCACACAAACAGCACCCTCACACACACAGCACTCTCACACAGCACACTAACAGGACCCTAACAAACACACACACAGCACACTACCAGTACCCTCACACACAAACACCACCCTCACAAGCGTGCACACACACACACACAAACAGTACCCTTACACACAGTACATTAACAGCACCCTCACAAGCACACACATACAAACACCCTCACCCACATAGCACACTACCAGCACCCTCACACACACATCACACTAACAGCACCCTCACACGGCACACACATACACACAGCAGTGTATGTGTGTGTGTATATATGTGTGTATATATATATATATATATATATACATACATGTATATACATACATACATATATACGCAGCGTGTGCTTGTGCTTTAGGGTGCACACCCTAATGCAATAGGCTGCGCACACCTATGACATCCAGCATCAGTTAGCGGAACAAATATCCGGTTACATTCCGGTGCTGTCTCAGTGTTGCAATGTAAAACCAGACCACTTCAATAGTGTCCTTTTAAACAAATTCTTAATTTGAGCAGTTGTTTCAAACTAATTGATATTTGTCTGAATTTTGGGAAATCAGCAATTTGTCCGAAATCCCGATCTCCAAAACGCTATATGGACGAATAATGAAACAAACTAAATGGACTATGGACAAACAGTTGTGTTTATTTGTTGATTTTCAGATCTGTGGGACCAAAACAAAAGGTGATTGACAGGAAAAAATAAGTTTCATAGTTAGGGGACATTTTGATTTTATTCACAGATCATGTGAAACGTAACCAATAGGGAGAAAAAAAGGAGAAGCAGAAAAAATCTCTATGTACAGTATATAATAAAATCTCAATATTCAGTATATAATAAATATATAAATATACATTTGTTAATGTTACCTATTTTTTCTAATTAGTTACCTCTCACTTGATCTCTGAACGAAATGCCTGGAAAATGCCCTTACCAGTGTGCTTCAAAATATATACATTTTATATTTATATTATGTATATATCTGGCAGTCATTGATTGCCCAATTTTCACTCCATTTTGGTCCATTCTAATAGTTTTTCCTGAAATGATTGCATGGCCGAAATTCGTCTGAACCAAAACGCTACATGGACAAAACTCGAATTGCCTGAAACAAAAACATTTTTATGGCTGAATCGATCCAAACAAAACTATTTTTTTTTTGCTATACACAAGTCTAATATGTAATACATTTAGTAGTTAAATAGCAAATGTACTCTTAACCCCTTAAGGACTGGACTGTTTTTGCGATGTTGTACATTTGCGACCAGGCATCTTTTTACACTTTTGAGGTGTTTGTGTTTAGCTGTAATTTTCCGCTCTCTCGTTTACTGTTCCCATACAAATTATATATTGTTTTTTTCAAGACAAAAGGGGCTTTCTTTACATACCATTATTTATATAATCTCATCTAATTTAATTTAAAAAAAAAAGAAAAAATATGATGAAAAATTGAAAAAAATACATGTTGTTTTTCTTTTACGTGAAAAATCTTTTACTCATCTACAAAAGCGAATGAAAAAAACTGCTAAATAGATTCAAAATATTGTCCTGAGTTTAAAAATACCCGTGTTTACGTGCTTTTTTTTGCTATTTTTTTGCATGTTATAGGGCTATAAGTACAAGTAGGATATTGCGGTTTCAAAACATACATTTTTAAAATTTATCAATAGTGACATTATAACACTATTATCTGTCATAAATCTCTGAATAACACCCCACATGTACATTTTTTTTTAAAGAAGACAACCCAGGGTATTCAATATGGGGTATGTCCAGACTTTTTTAGTAGCCACTTAGTCGCAAACACTGGCCAAAGTTAGCGTTCATATTTGTTTGTGTGTGAAAAAAATAAAAAAATAAATTGAACGCTAATTTTGGCCAGTGTTTGTGACTAAGCGGTTACTAAAAAAGACTGGACATACCACATTTGCAATACCTTGGGTTGTCGTCTTTTACAAATGGTATGCCATCATGGGGGTAATTCTCATTCCTGAGCTACCATACGCTCTCAAAGGCAACGTAACCAACCTGGCCATTTTCAATGTAAAAATATTTGACCCATATATTTGACCCTGTAACTTTCAAAAACACTATAAAACATGTACATGGGGGGTACTGTTATACTCAGGAGACTTTGCTGAACACAAATATTAGTGTTTCAAAAATGGAAAACGTATCATAACAATTATATCATCAGTAAAAGTGCTGTTTGTGTGTGAAAAATGCAAAAAAAGTCACTTTCACTGAAAATATCATCGCTGTGATATGTTTTACTGTTTTGAATCACTAATATTTTTGTTCATCGAAGTCTCCCGAGTAAAACAGTGCCCCCCATGTACAGGTTTTAGGGTGTCGTAGAACATTACAGAGTAAAATACAGTGCTAGCAAATTAAATTCTCTGGACTTTCGGCCTGGGTTGGCAGGCAGGTCCCTCAAATTGCAATCAATAAAATTACTTAATTATGTAAAAATGTTACATAAATACGCACGTAGAATTTAAATATATATGCATATTTATATATTTGAAGTCTACGTGTATATTTATATAATTATTTATGTAATTTTGTATATGGACATATGTATATTTCGTATTATTTTTATTTATTTATATATAAATAGATATATATACAATTTCATTCTAAGTGTATTTTGATATAAATATATATATATAAATATCAAAATACAGTTAGAATAAAATTTCATATAGATAAATGTTTTTTTAAAATTTTTATTATTATTTTTAAATTTTTTAATTTAATTTAAATTACCGTATATACTCGAGTATAAGCCGAGTTTTTCAGCACATTTTTTGTGCTGAAAAACCCCAACTCGGCTTATACTCGAGTCACTGTCTGTATAATGGCAATTTACATTGCCATAATACAGACTGGGGGCTGGCAGAGCTGTTACCTCTCCTGCAGCTCCTGTCAGCTCTCTCCTCCTCCGCGCCGGTCCGGTCAGCACCTCGGTCAGCTCCCAGTGTAAGTCTCGCGAGAGCCGCGGGGTCATAGTGCGGCTCTCGCGAGACTTACAGTGTGAGCTGAGAGAAGAGCTGACCGGACCGGCGCGGAGGAGGAGAGAGCTGACAGGAGCTGCAGGAGAGGTAAGTAACAGCTCTGCCAGCCCCCTCCTCCCCCCACTGAACTGCCAATGCCACTGGACCACCAGGGAAGGAGAGCCCCCCTCCCTGCCATGTATCAAGCAGGGAGGGGGGACGAAAAATAAATAAATAATAATACAAATAATAATAAAAAATAATAAAAAAAATAATAATATAACAAAAAAAAAATTAAAATAATAATTTTTTTTTTTTAATAAAAATGCCCACCCCCCACCAAGGCTCTGCAACACAAACACACACTGCATAACACACACACACACTGCACTCATATACACACACTGCACTCATATACACACACACTGCATTCATACACACACTGCACTCATATACACACACTGCACTCATATACACACACACTGCATTCATACACACACTGCACTCATACAAACACTGCATTTATACACACACTGCACTCATACACACACTGCATTCATACACACACTGCACTCATATACACACACTGCACTCATACACACACACTGCATTCATACACACACTGCATTCATACACACACACACACTGCATTCATACATACAACACACTGCATTTATACACACACTGCACTCATACACACACTGCATTTATACACACACTGCATTCATACACACACTGCATTCATACACACACTGCGCACTCATACACACACTGCATTCATACACACACTGCATTCATACACACACACTGCATTCATCATATACACACACTGTAAATAAATATTCAATTAATATAATTTTTTTAGGATCTAATTTTATTTAGAAATTTACCAGTAGCTGCTGCATTTCCCACCCTAGTCTTATACTCGAGTCAATACATTTTCCCAGTTTTTTGGGGTAAAATTAGGGGCCTCGGCTTATATTCGGGTCGGCTTATACTCGAGTATATACGGTACTTATTATTTGTATTTTATAATAATATATATATATATATACAATATACAGTTGCAAGAAAAAGTATGTGAACCCTTTGGAATTATATGGATTTCTGCACAAATTGGTCATAAAATGTGATCTGATCATCATCTAAGTCACAACAATGGACAATCACAGTCTGCTTAAACTAATAACAAACAAAGAATGAAATGTTGCCATGTTTTTATTGAACACACCATGTAAACATTCACAGTGCAGGTGAAAAAAGTATGTGAACCCTTGGATTTAATAACTGGTTGAACCTCCTTTGGCAGCAATAACTTCAACCAAACGTTTCCTGTAGTTGCATATCAGACGTGCACAACGGTCAGGAGTAATTCTTGACCATTCCTCTTTACAGACCTGTTTCAGTTCAGCAATATTCTTGGGATGTCTGGTGTGAATCGCTTTCTTGAGGTCATGCCACAGCATCTCAATCGGGTTGAGGTCAGGACTCTGACTGGGCCACTTCAGAAGGCGTATTTTCTTCTGTTTAAGCCATTCTGTTGTTGATTTACTTCTATGCTTTGGGTCATTGTCCTGTTGCAACACCCATCTTCTGTTGAGCTTCAACTGGTAGACAGATAGCCTTAAGTTCTCCTGCAAAATGTCTTGATAAACTTGAGAATTCATTTTTCCTTCGATGATAGCAATCCGTCCAGGCCCTGACGCAGCATAGCAGTCCCAAACCATGATGCCCCCACCACCATACTTCACAGTTGGGATGAGGTTTTGATGTTGGTGGGCTGTGCCTTTTTTTTCGCCACACATAGTGTTGTGTGTTTCTTCCAAACAACTCAACTTTGGTTTCATCTGTCCACAGAATATTTTGCCAGTACTGCTGTGGAACATCCAGGTGCTCTTGTGCAAACTGTAAACGTGCAGCAATGTTTTGTTTGGACAGCAGTGGCTTCCTCTGTGGTATCCTCCCATGAAATCCATTCTTGTTTAGTGTTTTACGTAT